TGAAGCTCGTTCTCGAAGTCATCAGTAGTGAAGTGTTTTACACAGATGACGTTGGTTCGGGCGTTGAAAATCGTTGGTCTCCGGCAGAACTGGATCCACTTTTCCACCAACTCAATGTCGGCCGGAAAAGTAAACAAACCGCACCCAGATCCATTGGCACTTACACTAGCACAATTAACCACTGCACACCTCATTTTTTTCTTTAATTTATAACTTTTTTTATAAGTTTTCACAAAAAACAAAACAACGCTCAAAGTCTTCCGAATTTGTAAATTTGTAAAGTTGAAATAACCTAAAACGTCACGAACCAGAAAATGTAAACAAAAGTATTGTGTGACGTCAGCGAATGGGTGGATGCTGTCAAATCGACGAAGAGAGGGTTAGCGGTCCGCGAATGGCGCGACCTTTATTTTCTGGATCGTGGGTTGCGCCTGTGGTGCTGTTGGAGCAGAGACGTTGCTTTGACGCATCGTCATATTTACTTAAGTCATCATCATCGCCTGCAATATTCGCATTATTTAAGTTTTCCCATGAGATGTATGGATGCAGGTGTTGTGGTCATTTTGCCAATTTCTGTTAAACAATTCTTGTGAAACCTTGCAAAATATGTCGTTATCATGTGATGGTGAATATTTTCAAATATGCACCCATGTATATATGTGCATTAGAGTGCGCATTGTATTCCAAAACAGTTTTAAATATTGAGTTCTAAAGTAGCACTAGAGCAAAAACAATTTTTACGTAAATTTTGTTGCTACTTCTGGTATCTAAAGGGTCAACAAGATAGTCTACTTTTTTAATTATCATAGTGGGCGAGGTGAAAAGTGTTGCCACTTTGTGAGTAATTCCTCAAAACGTGAGGAATTTCGGAAGCGCTTGAGTATTTTTTGAGGATTTTTCTCTCGATACATTTGCAGATAAAAATTGCAGCCATGTTTTACACAAGAGAATTGATAAATCGCTCTACAAATGTTTGAACAAAAAACTTTTCGAAGTTTTATAAAGAGCGAAATACACCACACAAGCGGCTTGTCAAACATTCTTCAAACCTACTTTTCTCATTTCGCCATACACCATGCAAAAATGACCCGCTCAAGCAAAGAATTTTAGTTTTCTTCCGATTCACAATGTAAAAAGGGTTTGGTTTTCTTCGATTTTTCTTTCTTGCGTCCTCATTCGGTAAAAATTCCGTTACGAATGAGGCATTTTTATCATACACAACGAAAGCGGTTTGATCAAACGTCAACATGGCGGCCAGAAAGTCAAAAAAATTTGATTTTTGTTCACATTTCCCTTAAACGGTTTGTCAAACCTTCAAACACTCCCATACACAACATAAATAGCTCCAAGGAAATGGATATTTCGCTTGGTTTGTCAAGCTGCGTGTGTGGTGTTTTTAGCTCTTAAGCACATCTGCATTTGCTGCTAGATATTCAAAATGTTATCGATAATTTTTTCATTCCATAGTTATATTTTCAACTTATTTTGAATTTGCAAAATCTCGACAACGAATGGGGAGAACATGCATTGTTCGATCATAAGGATATTCATATTAATTCTTCATTAGATCCAGAAAATTATAGGAAAACAGTTTTTGAATTAAAAGATTCTTCAGGTTCATATAAGTTTCCACATTAAAAAAATTATATCGGCATTACTAATATAGCCCTTTTCTAATGCTTCAGTAGAACGTATATTTAGAAGTTTAAAAATGTGTAGGACTGACTTGAGGACC